TCGCAGGCCCATGCTCAATCCACTGAGCTATACCAGCCATAGCAAAGGGTCACCAGGTGGATTCCTAGTCAGGGCACATGCCTGGGTTTCAGACCAGGTCCCCAGTTGGGGACATGTGAGAGGCAACCATACACTGATGTTTCTCTCCCTCTCTTTCTTCCTCCCTTTCCCCTCTCTAGAAATAAATAAAATATATATTTTTAAGTTTCCTCTCTTAAGGCCCTGGCTGGTGTAGCTCAGTGGATTGAGCACGGGCCTGCGAACCAAAAGATGGCGGTTCGATTCCCCGTCAGGGTACATGCCTGGGTTGCAGGCCAGTTCTCAGCAGGGGCCAGTTCCCAGCAGGGGATGCACCAGAAGCAACCGTACATTGGTATTTCTCTCCTCTCCTTCCCTTCCTTTCTAAAGATAAATAAATAAAAAAATTTTTAAAGTTTCCTCTCTTAAAAAAAGAAGCCATGAACTCTTACCCAACACACCCGAGCAATTCCAGTTCTGAAACCGAACGGCAGACTGTACTCTGGAGAGCCTGGTTCTAGGTCCTTTCCGCCACCCCCCCCCCCCCACACCATGCCAACCTCACTACACATCACACACCGCCCCTCCCCACCCCTCCTCTCCTCTGCTGACGCCAGGAGGCAGCACAGCACCTGGAGAGCCCGCCACCTGCTCCCTGCCTGGGTAGCAGAAGCGCCATCACGCCATCCTGTCTAGGAGGTTCTCCCCGTCCTTCTGCGGGGTCAGCCATCAGCTGGCCTCCTGAACCCAGACAGGTCTTAGGAACTCGGGCACTGTGCCGTCTGCCAGGGCTCCCAGTCCAGTCCTCCTCATCAGCACTCTCGAGACACAGTTCTTAACTGGGCCCTTCTCCCCCGGAGACCTCACGCAGAGTTCCTAAGTAGAGCGCTGAGTTCCTCGGGAAATAGGTGAGCAGAACACAAAGGGCAGCTTGATTTTTTCTCTGACCTTGTGCTGTTGTAGGGCAGTTTTTTTCGGTAATGGGAAGGTACCAGATGCCCTGGAAATCTGACACACCCGCCTGGGACAAGGAGAAGACGCAATTGACAGCAAGAGCGAGGCCAGGAAACCCAACTCTCAGGGATTCCCTGGGCTCTGCAGACAGGCGAGAAGTGTCCCCGGCCATTCTCCCGTGGTCACTCACACCACGTGAGCCAGGCACATGGCCCGGCCAGTGCTGTCAAACTGCCTCTTAGCACTGACTCAGCCTTTCCGCTTCCCACTTCCTGTGAAAATTTGCCTTGACAATTCCCGACCCCGGGATAAAGGGACAGTACTTCCTTTGGGAGTTAGGCAGATTCGTTTTCACTGGATGTGGATGTGAAGAGCTAGATTATCCATTTGTTCTTAAAAATGGCGGGCTAGGCGGTGTCTGCCATGGCTCAAACGAGGCTCTGATGAAAAAGGTGATTCCTGACTGCAGAACGCACTTCGATCAGCCCCACCACCCTCGGGCTCACGGAGAAAGGCCAGGCACTCGCTGAGGCAGCTGTGTCCTGAGAGTGAGGAAGGAAGAGGTCTGGGCAGGTGGCAATGCTGGCTGAGAAGGTAGGTCCCACCAAGGGCACAGCTCAGACAGAAACACAGTCAGATGACCAAGATGAAGGCCCAAGGCTGGACCACGCCTGCCTGCGGTTCACCTCTCCCTCCCCAGATTCTCTTACACCTCAGTCCTCTGCCTGGGTCCCTGGCAGGCGGAGGACCCTCCATCTGCAGCCACGGTGCTCAGCCCACTGTGGACGGTGGGGCAGGGCTGAGAAGGCTGACATCTCCTGGGGCCTAGCTTACACCTACGAGAAACAGCCACTCACTGGGAGAGACCAGCTGTCCATGGTCCCTCGGAACTGAGCCGCACAGTAAGGAGTGAACACTCAGGGTCAGAGGAGGGGCTTCAGAGCCAGGGAGACGACACAGACACGAGCATGGGATCTGAGCAGTGGGAGGGACTTCGCCTGCACCAGGGTTCCCTCCAGTACATTCCTGGCCACTGCTAGACCTGCAGGGTGTGGGGCGGGGCTCTGGGCGGCCGCCCGGTCTGTCCTGGATGGCCAGAGCACCTCCAAGTCTTTCCTTACACACAGCTTAATTCTGCCTTCCTGGGACAATGAAAAAAAAAGGTTTATGATGAAAATTTAAGTCTGTATAAAAGTAGAGTGAATAGTATAAATAACTTGTGTTCCTCACCCAGCTTCAAAGTTGGCAACAAATGGCCCATCTTGTTCCATCTCACACTGCACCCACTTTTCTGGGGCAGTTTTAAAGACCAAGTAGAGAGAAGTCTGTTCATTTATTACAAAGAACTGGGTGCGCTGGTACCACTGGTTGGCTGACCGATCACCTAGTCTCAATGCCTCTCCTCCCCTTCCCTGTCTTCCACAGAGGTCCTCCAGCCTCCCCCACAGCCAGAGGCGGTGGGTGACCCAGCTATGGCCGGTGACACATCAACGAAAGCCTGCTCTAAAGCCTCGTTTAAGCCTCATTGTAAGAGGTGTACGTGCGGGAACACACACACCCATTAGCCAGAGGAAGCCGTGTCACCGGTAAGGTGAACTCAGCTTGATACGAGTGCTTTTAAAGTGATTGCTTGTAGATCAAGAGGGAGGCAGCTTCGGTCCAGGCAAATGAAAACTTTAAATGTGCAAGTCTGGAAAGACCAAGCGAGGATCTGTGAAGCTGGGAGGGAGGGCAGGTGTAAGAAGAACGGCCCGGCAGGACAGCCTCACCGGCAGTGGGTTACACCCTGTGTGTCCAACTGTTTGGACACAGATGGAGGCTCCACAGCTACAAATGACTGTCGTGAACAACTACTGACCTCAGGGGCCCCAGGCTCCGGAAACCTATCATGGGCCCGTGGATGGCCACTTCCCTCTGCCCCAACTGGTAGTCAGCACGCAGGTGGAACCCAAAGAAGTCTCAACGTCCCTTCACAGCGGGAAGCAGCCAGAGTGGTCGCTGCCCCAAAGTCCCCAGGGATTTGGGTTCCTGATGCTTGAGGGGGGAAATGTTAGGTAGAAGTTTAGGAGGAGGAGGCGGCGTGGGAGGGGGTCCATAGTACTTGCAGAAAAAGCTCATAAATAACTTTGATGAACCGCCTCTGGCCATATATTTAACAGGATAACAAGAGGTGGTCACACCCGGCCTTGGAAGAGTATGAACCGCCTTCTTCCACCCAATCGATCTGTAATTCCCTCACCTGCCCCACAGATTCTGTAAAACCTCAGGACAAAGAGACCAAGGGCCTCTGCCTTTCCCACGCCCCTTGGCTAGGCCTGTTCTCTTCCATGAGAACGTGCCACTAATGAACTTTGCTTATGTGCTTAAAAAATAATAATAATGGTCAAATAGCTAACCATTCACATTCTCAACAAGCTGCCAGAGTCTGTCAGAAGATGGGACTGTGTTGCAGGGCTTTTGAAAAGACTCGTGGATGTGTAAAAAGTCAAGTAGAGATCAGGTATGTGCCGCGAACCTGCTGGGAAACCACGTAGCAAATCAAGAGACGGCAGAAAAGAAACTGAGATTTCTGCGGAGCTGTAACATTAATCTGGTTCGGAGGACAGAGCAGCCGTGCGAGGATTCTGGCCGACAGAGCTGACCTCTCTCGTGATGCCTGGGGACAAAGCGAGAGCAGCAACCCCCCACCATGCCAAGAACCCAGCACGCTCTTGCAGTTTGTCTTAATCTCATAGGCTTCAAAGTTGAGAAGATTTGCTAAAAAGAAAACCCTCATTCACAAGCTCAGCGCCATTTATTCTACGGGTTTACAACTCAGTCTTCAAACTGGGGGAGCTGCCTCCCGCTGCTGCTACAGTGGCAGCTGCGATGAAGAACTGTGTGAAGGGGAGCGAACGCCGGAGGCGCTCAACTCCAGGAAGAAGCTGGGTCGTCCACAGGGCGGTGACCAGCAGATGACGCACAGAGGATACCGCGAGGCAGGACTTGTGCCTCAGTCTTGGCTGGTGGCTCCTGACGTTCTTCCCTTATCACAATGCTGGCTGTCCTCAGGTTCAAGGACTTTCCTGTTTCTGTGTCGCTGTGCAGGACTGTACCTGAAGCCTCACAGGTCACCTGTCCCGACGCTGGCTGGGAAACGCTCTATCACGACTTCACTGGAGTGGACGTGAACAACGCATTCTGTTCACATGCAGCCTGTGAAATACTTTTCCGAAAGCTGAGATCCCGAACGATGCAGGGTTGACAATCAGGTCTTGGTTGCCTAGAGCTTCTGACCACTTACTGGATGGGGAGATAAGTGCTCGTCCCCGTCAGGGGCGTCGTGAGCCCTCCCAGCCCTGTGAGATAATGGTGTTCCTCATACCACTGCCAGACCGGAAAACAGGGGCTCAGAAAGCTAAGCTGTGGTCAAGGTCACAGAGCCACTAGTTGTCCAGGCAGGAACTGGGTCCCAAGCGTTGGAACCTTCCCTTCCCCAGGACACCTCCACCCCCAGGACGAGGCTGTGGGGTTTGCTGCCTTCTTAAGATAAAGGTTGGGATTTAAACTTTCCTATAGAGTACAGAAAAGAAATGGAAAAGAAATGGTCTTTCAGAGTCTTCTTTGACAAGCCCCAAACTAAAGAATTATTGAGATAGGAGCACATCTGAAGTCAACTTGAACCTGGGAAGAGGAAAGAGGAAAAAAGGTAAAAAAGATCCTTACCTTCAGTCTTACTTTATGCCAGTAATGGGAATCCGTGCAGGAGAGCAAGGGGTCGAGAGAAAGGCAGGGGTGGAACCGAGAACAAATCTGCCCGGGGACCTGGTGTCCCGCTAACACTAGGGGCCAGGCTGATTTCGGAAGGAGCCCCGGGGCCCCGGAACCCACACCCTCACCGCGGCCAGCCTGCACCGGTACTGCCTGCACAGCCTGCACAGGCCTGGCATGTACTGGTGGGGCCTGCTGGACTCCGCGCAGGACAAAGGGAAGGCAGCGGGTATCACTGTTTCCGCCAGCCTCTGCTAGGGCCAACTTTTATTTTTAAGTTACTTTTTAAAAGAGTTTATTTATTTTTAGAGAGAGGGGAAGAGAAGTACAAAGGGAGAGAAACAGTGATCAGCTGTCTCTCAAATACGCCCGACCAGGGACTGAACATGCCACCCAGGCATGTGCCCCGACTGGAAATCGAATAGGTGACCTCTCACTTTGGGGCGCGATGCCCAGCTCATGGAGCCACACTGGCCAGGGCCAACTTTTTTTTTTTTACTTTTATTTTTTAAGGACAAACTTTCAACAGTCAAATGAATGAAACCACGTGAGACCAAGATACGAAGACAGAATTCGATGTAGAAAAAGGCCTTGCTGGCGCCAGTGGAGGAGGAGGAGCCCCGGAGACACCCCCGGACACGCAGAAGCTCACACTGCAGACAGCGCTGGGCTGCCACTGGCTCCCCCATGACGTCAGGGTTTCATTTTGCTCAGCCTGAGATCTCGCTCAATTTCGAACTGCCTGTGATCCACTCGGTCCAGAAAAGCTTTCCGTTCGATGTACCTGGAAGGAAATGAAAGACGGCTGTCAGCAGAGTCCAGTAAGAGAACGTGTGCCCACTGCGTGGCCCCACCCCCCGCACGGCCTGCCCTCAGGTGTGAACAGGCCCACCTGGGCGGCGGGACCACCGGGGTCTCAGCACATGCAGAGAGACGACCACAGCTGGAGCCCAGAATGACCACACACGACCCTCAGTAACACGGCCCTCACATTCGGTCTAAACGAGGATGTTTCTTGTTCAGATGTGAATGAAAATAAAATGAAAAAAGACAGCAACAGCTTATCAAAGGGAAAACACATGAGGGCTTAGTGGCAGAAGAGTTACAATTTTGTCACAGGGCTTTAGGGAAGGACAAGCGTGGGCTGGGCCAAGCACGGGTCAAGGACTGAATGTGTCTGAGTTCATTTCCCTTAAGAGTGAAACAACACGGCCACATGTCCTGGCCTTGGCGGTGCGCTGAGCCGGTGAGGAGAGGCAGCTGTGTGCCCTGTACACGCACGTCAAAATGTCTAAAAGGTCACCGAACGTGGAAGACGCAGGGCAGTAGACACGCCCTCGCAGGAGAGGCGGTGAAGCGGCACACGAGGTGCCCGCCGTGCAGAGCGTTTAACTGCCTGCCGCGCTTCCCTCCTCCCAGCCAGGGCCAGGCTGCCTCGGGGATGACACAAGAGGACTTCACTTTCCCCGACTTCCTCTAAGGGGATTGGATCAAGAGCCTCTGCCGCCCACAGTCCACCTACAGGGGCCCCTGACAAGGGCAGTGTTCCGCTCCTAACCTGAGGCCCGGTTCAGCAGACAAGGAAGGCTTCCCTGGGTGCTCCCAGACAGGATGGGAAGGAAGCCCAGGGCTGAGGCAGGCCAGCAGACCCGGCTGCATGTTCCTAATGCTCCTTCTCACCATAAAATGTGTGGTCATTTGCCCAAGGGAGGGGAATCTCTGCTGCTAATTAATCTGCTGAAAGTAAAATTGCCATTGAAAGTGGGACATATTAATTGAATCTCTGCACCAACTTTTCTTTTTGTTGCACTGTGGAAAAAGTACATCGTCTGTCATTACAAGGTCATTACTTTTATGGTGAGAACCTTACCAGGTTCAGGACCATGTTCCTTTGCTGAGTTCAGGGCCTTGCTTCCCCTCTCCCAGGACCCTGTGAAGTGTAGTTCGTCCTGTTGCTTTCCAGCCAAACTGCCCTCTGTCTTACGGCGTGGAGGCTCTACATTGGAATCCCGATTCGGCCACTTTGCTGGCTGTTTGACTCTGAGCAAGCCACATAATCTTGCCAATGCAGCTAGCACAGAGTAAGTGCTCAATAAAACGGCAGTGACTGCTGTCACCATTATTTTGGGAACCTGGCTTCCATCAGGGCTGTGAGGACAATCAATACTAGAAAGCAGTCAGCTCTCCAGAGGAGTTTTATCAGCAACAAGTAGCCACCATGGGGTCCGGGCTGAGGGACTAGGGGCTGGGTCAGAACTGCCAACCAGAGGCCGGAGTGGCTGAACACACAAGGTCAGGGTCTGCCCCTAGGTTTGACACAGGCCCTTGGGGACAGGCTGTCAGGTGTCGCAAGTAACACACAGGATGCTGTTACATTTGAGTTTCAGATTCCTTGGTGAACAGGGAAGCAACAGACACTGGACCCCACCCCCTTTAAAAAATCTTCACTGGAGGATATGTTTACTGATTTTAGAGAAAGAGTAAGTGTGGGGGAGAGAAACACCCAACAGTTGTCTCCTGCACGTGTGCTGACCGGGGACTGAACCCGCAGCCCAGGTACGTGCCCTGATCGGAACGTGAACCTGCGATCCTTTGGTATGTGGGGAGCTCCAACCCAGCCAATTGTCCCTACCAGACCCCTTTATGATACAGAGAGAAAACAGGGCAGACTGCCAGGGAAGTAGACACATGATAGAATAAGTCCCCTTCCATCTGTCATGAAGGGACCCAGCACTCTCCAGTAGTGACTGACGGGTTTTGTCACACCAAGGCCACCATGGCTCCTCCCCCCAGCCCACAGGTCCTGGGTGAAGACCACAGTGGGGACCAGCATTTAGAGTGCCAATTGCCCCTCCAAGTTCTGGCAGAAAATAAGGGTGACCTGTGGCTCAAGAGGAACTTAGAGCATGTTTCAAGAGAGCCATTACCCAGGGCTACTTGTCTGAGGGCGGGTCACGGAAAGGGGAAAAGTATAATATAAAGTTTGAGCATGGGCTGTCTTTTTTGGCATTCCTTTAAAGAAGAGAAAGTGGTACTTCAGTTAGGATGCACACTGAGCGTGAACAAAGGCCCTGAAGGTCCCCGATGGCTGTGCTGGGTCCAGCGGACCTTGAGACCATCAAGAGCGAAGCCAGGCTGGGAGCAAAGAGGCAGGTGGAGGCAGAGTTCAGGTCTGGGGGCGGCCTCAGGCAGCAGAGAGGGGCTCCTGTGCAGAACTCGCCTGAACTCTCAAGGGCCCTCCAGACAAAGGCCATCGAGACAGGCTTGGCGACTTCATTTCCCCACTCACAGCCATCTGCAGCTGCTGAGGGGACCTTGCCATGGCCGTGGCTTACTGCCAAGAGCTGACCAGGAACAGCACTTCTATTGGACGTGGACACCCCCACCTCTGAGAGAGAGAAAAGATGCCAAGGTTGAGGGTGGCTTTGACATTTAGTATTTGTGTGACTTTGGGCAAGATGCTTAATTTTCTGTGCCTTATTTTTCTTCTCTATAAACAGAATAAAAATTACAGTACCCCTCTGACGATTTAATGGAATGGTGACAACTTCTTTGTAAACAATAAAACCCCAAATAGCTACGAGCACTGAGGGGTTCTTGCTTCCCATTTCTGACCCCACTGATCACTATAAAGCCTCAGAGGCTGGGGCAGCTGGACAGGGACCCAGGGACCGAATGCTCCACGAAGAGGAGGGGCTCCTGGGGAAAGCCCCTCCTCTAAGCTGGCCTGAGTAAAGGCCTATTTAAACCAAGCCTCAGAAGTTTCCAGGCAGCTTAAGCAGGTGACTGTCCCGGAGCAGAGCAGCCAGCTGACAACAGTAATGGTTCCTTTCGGGCCTGTACCCAGCCCTCCTGGAGACCAAGGCCGATGGACCCAGCCCCCTGGGAGGCCGGGGGTGGGGTGTCATCCCTTCCCACCACTACTGCGTTATGTGGCCCATTTAAGAGGCAGCAGCAATTCACTTGCATTAACAAAATATGCTAATAGCATCAAAACCTAAGGGATTTTCTAGCCTTTCCTTTCAGAACCAGGTTACACCCAACAGGCTCTGACATCTTTTTGATCTTTCAACTAATTTTCTTGAGAACCAGGCCAATGAGGAGAGAAGAAAAAACGGAAGAAGAGGGCAAGGGAAGGGTGGAAAATTCTTCCAGGACACATTTCAGCACCTGCTTCTGGAAGCCCACGCCACAGATGAAAGGGTGGCCGCCCATCCTGAGATGTCCGAGGTCTGTGAGGGTGGAAGTGCCCAACGGGTGTGCTCACCTCCAAAAACTCTGTCACCTGCCCACAAGAGGCCTGCTCACTGGTCAGGAAAGAGCACAGTTGGGGCAGGGACACCTGAGGCAAGGACAGAACTGGGGATGCTCCAGGGCCGTGTTATTAGTTTGCTGGCAGCACAGCCAACACGCATTCAGTGCAGCATAAACACGACGAGCAGGAAAGGGAGAGGCGTCAATGCCCCACCAGAAAGCCACGGGCAGCAGGGGGACTCCAAGGCTGGAATAAAGCTCTGGGGTGGAAGTAGTAAGATAGGAGCTTTTTAAATTTTTCTGAAAAAAATACAACTAAAAGAAGCAATCTGTCCCAAACTGCACAAGCCTGTGTCCTCCCCACCCCTACAAGACAGCTGTGACTTGCAAACATCTTGAGGACCAGAGGAAAAGGGTGGCGATTTTAATTCAGTTTCTTCTCTAGTTTTCCTCCCACTGCACCTCCATGCTGGGCTGGTTCTGAGAGTGATCTTGGGAGTCACGGAGACAGGTTCTTTGGACAAAGAAAATTATTTTCTCCGGTCTCTCCCTTAGGCCTCTCCAAATCACAAACACATCTGGTCATCGAGCTCCATGACCTGCAATTTGACTGCCAAGCGGCAGCCCCAACCACGCCTCTACCCTCTCCTTCCCACCTGCGCCGCGCGGGAGGGCTGGGCTGCTGAGGGTCGGGCTGCTGGGGACCCTGTGGGATCGCTCACAGGTGAGAGGGAAGCAAAGCTAGACGCCGTGAGCGTGGACTGCTAACACTGGTCCTGAAATGCTGGCCCCGGCCCTGGGGGCCTGGTCTCAGGGGAAAGGCATCTTCGGTGGAGGCATTTTAACCAATTTTGCTGACCAAAAATGAGGCCTGAGTGGAGACATCATTCGGATGTACCCTGCCCTTCTTTTCTGAGTGGCTAACTCTAATCCTACTGTCTCTAAAGCCAAGCCCCGGCTGTCTGGGACTCAGAGGGATGAGCACTGAGAGCTGTGGCTCAGCACCTGCTCTGGGCGGGACTTTCATGGGTGCTGGGGACAAAGTGGAGAACCAGACCTCACCCTGGAGTACTTACTACTCAGGAAACCAAACGCAACATGTATCCATTGGTACTAAGTGTGATGGGATTGAGGGTCCCTGGGGTGAGTGGGACTGCTCTAAAGAGCGGTATCTGAGTGGAGCCCACCTCGGAGGGTCTGGAGGAGTGGGAGTGCGCCGGGGACAGCTTGGGTGGGCCTGAAAAGCAGGGTAAGGAGCAAACGCTGATTTCAGGGGGGAAGAGAGGGGCAGATGGGAAGCGGGGTGACAGCGGATGTCTGTGGTCCGTGCAGAGTGCTGGCAGTAGGGCTGGATGAACAGGGTGGGGCCGCAATGGTTTAGGACAGAACTGTCTGTTGGACTGTCAGGATATGAGTGGACAGAGGAAATCAAGGATGACTCCTAGGTTTTTCTTTTAACAGTTGTGTGGATGGCGATGGTGCTGTTTTTTTTGAGAAGTCAGAGGGAGGAGAAAGCAGTATGCCGTTTTG